AACTCTCCACTTAATTTCATCTTCTATATCTTTTGGGGTAGGCTGTGTTTGGGCCATTCAGGAACACTTTTAGCTTGAAAACTCCTGCACTATGTGGAGAAGTCCTTTTGTTAAGTTGAAATCTCCAGTCTCTATGGAATAGTTAGAAATTCTAAACACAAAATTCAGACATTAGGGCGGAACATGGCAATTCCACACTCATTATTTTGTAATAAAGGTTGAACTAGACATTAATGATGCAGCCTTCAGGGGATAAAAGTCCAGATACTATGAGCTTCAGTATTCTTGTTCTGGAGGGAACTTGTGAGTCTCTGCTGGACGCATAATTCCATCAACACAGGGCAGGCTATTGTGAAAAATAGAGAAGGCATCAGAGATCCATGCCTTCTTTCTCTTTATGTATATACCTTGCCTTGTTATATAACTTTTATTCTTTCCCCAAGTAAATTATTTCTTCCCCTGTAGTTACTCCGAGTGTCTGACTGATTTTTGCTGACCTACTCACCTATAGTTGGTCTGCAGAGATCTATAGAAATCTCGGAAGTGACATGTCTGTATTTGGGCTTCGGTGTTAAAGGGGTGGCTAAGGACTGTACAAGCAGTAGCTGCAGTAATTCGTGTGAGATCTCAAAGGGGAAGATGAGTCTTAACAAGTGTTGACTTTCTCAACCTTTAAAGTCAAGTTCCTGATGTCAGCTAAGATTTGGTCAATTTTTATTTTCTGTAGTTTCTAATAAGAAAACAAATGGTATGCCCTTCCCATCCCCATATAATATTACACTACAACATGAAAAAACCTTAAATCTATGCTCACCCATCTGGAGATAATGACACATATTTGCTCCCTATCATCTGTGAATGACTGAGTCGAAATGAGGTCTAGCTGCCTCTTCCCATATGGGGTCTCAATATTATTATTCCACCAATAATATTACTAATATTGGTGGATCAGAGACTTATTTTATTAAGAAAGGTGATTTTCCTTTCAGATGACAGAAAGAACACAAGATTCCCTTCTTATCTTTTCCTCACACTTGTATTTTTAAAAATATGACATGTACTATGCACACATGTGTGCTTATTACATAATCACTGAGGATATTTTAGAAAGTCTGGGAAAGCAGAAATAAGAAAAAGAAGTTATCCAGAAACCTATAACTTAGAAGTAACCCTTAATATTTTGGTACATTTTAATATGTAGAAATTGTTTAAAAGTTGTATGTTTACTCCCTACTGTTTTGGCCTACATTTTCCACTAGTTATATAATTTGAGTATTTCATATACCAAGGTTTTTTTTTTTTTTTTTTTTTTGAGATGGAATTTCACTCTTACTGTCCAGGCAGGAGTGCAATGGCACGATCTTGCCTTACCGCAACCTCCGCCTCCCTGGTTCAAGCAATTGTCCTGTCTCAGCCTCCCAAGTAGTGGGGATTACAGACATGCACCACCATGCCCAGCTAATTTTTGTATTTTTGGTAGAGACGGGGTTTCACCATGTTAGCCAGGCTGGTCTCAAACTACTGACCTCAGGTGATCCATCCACCTCAGCCTCCCAAAGGGTTGGGATTGCAGGTGTAAGTCACTGCACCTGGCCCAACAAGTATTTTTAATAAAACGTGTTTTTATGTGTCAATTCTAAAATCTCTGAATTTAAGAATATCTTAGCCGTCTTCCCTCAGTTGCACTGAAGATCGTTGGAGAAGACTGAGCCATATGTGTCTTTATTCATTCACTTATTCATTTCTTCTTCTTTTTCTTGAAACAGGGTCTTGCTCTGTTTCCTGGTCTGCAGTGCAGTGACGTGATTATCTCACTGCAGCTGTGAACTCCTGGGCTCATGCCATCCTTCCCCGTCAGCCTCCCAAGGAGCTGGGACTATAGGCATGTACCACCATGCCCAGAAATTTTTTTATAAATTTTATTTTGTTTTGAGACAGAGTTTCGCTATTGCTGCCCAGGCTGGAGTGCAATGGTGCGATCTTGGCTCACCACACCCTCCGCCTCCTGTGTTCAAGCCATTCTCCTCCCTCAGCCTCCTGAGTAGCTGGGATTATAGGCATGAGACACCTCGCCCGGCTAATTTTGTATTATTAGTAGAGACGGAGTTTCTCCATGTTGGTCAGGCTGGTTTCAAACTCTCGATCTCAGGTGATCTGCCCACCTTGGCCTCTCAAAGTGCTGGGATTACAGGCGTGAGCCCCAGCTCCTAATTTTAATTTTTATAGAAACCTGGTCTTGCTATATTGCTCAGACTAGTCTCAAACTCCTGGCCTCAGGCAATCATCCTGGCTCAGCCTCTCAAAGTGGTGGAATTATAAATGGGAGCTAACACACCAGGCTGATTTAAATTGCACTTATTTAAATTGTCAATTATGTTTCAGGAACATTGCCAAGATCTAGGGTTACAAAGATGAGTCAGAGGTTTCTCTATCTTCATTCTCATCCCCATAGGCTCAGAGGTTATTGATAGAGACAGGTATGTTAGCAGATAAGTAATAAAGCACTAGGGAAACGCAGAGGAGGGAGGAACTACCCTGTTATGTTGCTATTGAATTCCTTCTGTGTGAAAGGCCTCACATTTTATGCACTCTCGAGAAAGGGAAAACATTTAGGATGGAGTGTCTCCAGGTGTCATTGCCTTTGGAGAGTCTCTAGGTGTCATCGCCCTCAACAGCAAAAATTGGAAATGCCAAGAAGTAATATTCTCAGTGTAAATGTAAGTGAGAAAAAAAATCCTCTGTGGATAGAAGTTCAGGAAGAAACTTTGGATTGTTCAATCTGGCCCTGGGTGGAAGGCAAAGTAAATCTCCTCTGAAAATTGGAACCATACATAGGTTCTCATGCTGTTTGTGATCTGAATTTACCAGAGTGGCTCAACAAACTTCAAGGAGTTAATTTAATTTAAACTGGTCTCAGTTTGGTATGGACCCATGTGACAGGCAGAAGCAAATTTACATCCTCTTTAGGAAAACTTGACTTCGATCCAAGCTGACAGCAACTAATAAGACTTCATGGGCTCTAACCACTTCTCAATTTCAGTGATAATAAAATATGAAAAAAAATGCAACATAGAAATCAAGAAATGCAATTACTGCCTGGGAAAGAACAGATCAAAACGCCTCAAAATTATGCCTCTAGGCTTAAAAATCTATATCTAGATAGAAAATAAAAGGAGACAGCATTGATAGAAGGAAATGCAAATTATAGATGAGGAGTCCTTCATCCACTCTCTGTCCACACTAGAAGTGCAGGAGCAGTGCCCTTTGCAAAAGCTCATACTCTCACATGTCCCAGTGACCTCATGGCTAGCTCAAGCTTCTTGAAATTCAGGGCTGAATGTTGCTCACCACAGTATTCCAGTTCCTGGCATAGTGCTTGGTATAGAAAATGCCTATTTGCTCAAGCTGCCCGTACCAGGATATCATAGCTTGGGTGGCTTAAACAACAGAAATCTATTTTCTTCTAGCTCTGCAGGCTAGAAGCTGAAGATCAAGGTACCAGCGAGGTTGGTTTCTGGTGAGGCCTCTTTTCCTGACTTGCAGACAGCAAATCACCTTCTCACTGGGTCCTCATGTGGCAGAGAGTGGGAGAGCTTTGTGGTTCTTCTTTTTCTTATAAGGACACCGTTCTAATCCAATTAGGCCCTCACCCTCACGACCTCATTTAACCTTAATTGCCTCCTTAAAGGCCCGGTTTTCTTTTTTCTTTGAGACGGAGTCTTGCTGTGTCGCCAGGCTGGAGTGCAGTAGTGCGATATCTGCCCTGTTTTCAAATAATGTCACCCTAAGGGTTAGGGATTCAACATATAAATTGTTTTTGTTGGAAAGGACACAATTCACTCATACAGCATGTCTTCAATAGATATATGTTACATTAATATCACTTTTATTTCATGAGTGCCCCTATTTCTGATGATCATATTCCCTTTACATAATCTAGAGCTGATCTTTTAGGTTTATTTGTGCCTGTGCCTGTATGAATTTGACTTTATTTTTCCTTTGTGGATCCCTTCTGAAGAAATTGATATCCCTGGCCTTCTAGGTATTCTGAAGAAGAGGGATCTTTTATAATTATGTCCATAATTGTTATAGCTTAAATATGGTTTGTTTGTCCCTACCAAATCTTATATTGAAATTTGATCCCCAGTGTTGGAGGTGGGGTCTAATGGGAAGTGTTCAGGTTATGGTGGCAGACCCTCATGAATAGATAATGCCCTCCCTGGGGAGTGTGTTAGTGAGTTCGCAGGTTATTAGTTCCTGTGTGAAACCTGGTTGTTAAAAACAGCCTGGCATCTCTCATATCCTTGCTTCCTTTCCTGCTACGTAATCTCTCCTTTGCCTTCTGCCATGAGTGGAAGCCGTGTGAAACCCTAACCAGATGCAGATGCTGGCATCATGCTTCTTGTACAGTCTGCAGAACTGTGAGCCAATTAAATCTGTCTTAGTAAATTACCCAGCCTCAGGTGTTCCTTTAAAACAACACAAAATAGACTAGGACAGATATATATATATATAATATACCTGCCAGAAGAGCCAAAATGAATAGACAGAAAATACCGAGTGGTGGTGAGGATGTGAAGCAGCTGGAGTGCTCATACACTGTTGGTGGGAGTATAAGCTGGTACAACCATCTGGCAAACTCTTTGACAGCATGTCAAAGCTAAATATATACATACCCCATGCTATATATACATATGACCCAGATAGTCTACTCTAGGTATTTATCCAACAGAAATTCATCCATATGTTCACCAAAAGACACAGATAAAAAATATTCGGAGCAGCACTATTCATAATAGCACTAAGTGAGAAACTGCCTAAATGTCCATCAAAAATAGATAACATCCTGTCATTTGTGACAACATGGATGAACCTGGAGGACATTGTATTAAATGAAATAAGCCAGGCATAGAAAGACAAATACCGCGTGATCTCATTCATACGTGCAATCTAAAAAAAGTTGATCTCGAGGAACGCGGAGGAAACCGGAGTGAACAGAGAGCTTAGTGACCAACATGAGCCTCCTCAACAAGCCCAAGAGTGAGATGACCCCGGAGGAGCTGCAGAAGCCAAAGGAGGAGGAATTTCACATGGGTCCACTCTCTGTGCTCACTCAGTCCGTCAAAAACACCCAAGTGCTCATCAACTGCCGCAACAATAAGAAACTCCTGGGCCGCGTGAAGGCCTTTGATAGGCACTGCAACATGGTGCTGGAGAACGTGAAGGAGATGTGGACTGAGGTACCCAAGAGCGGCAAGGGCAAGAAGAAGTCCAAGCCAGTCAACAAAGACCGCTACATCGCCAAAATGTTCCTGCGCGGGGACTCAGTCATTGTGGTCCTGCGGAACCCGCTCATCACCGGCAAGTAGGAGCCACCTCTCCCTGTCAGTCAAGAGAACTCAATCCCCTGTCCTACAGAGACCACTGCCTCTGGTGTTGAGAACAATAAAGCTGTGTTTTTTTCTAGTGAAAAAAAAAAAAAGTTTATCTCATAGACATGGAGTGTAGAATAGGTGGAAGCTGGGGTGGTGAGAAGAAAGGGGGGTTTGGGAGATGTGATCCCAGTCATAATCCCAAAAGACACAGTCCTAGATGCCATAATCCTGGAGGTTGAAGTCTCAAAAGGTCAAAATCCCTAAAACGTAAAATTTGTAACATCCAAAAATTCCAAAATGTACAATCTCAAAATACTAAAATCCTGAATGTTGAAATCCTGAAAGCTGAATTCTGGGGAAGAAATTTGTGCATTTTTGGTTGCATTCAAGATAGATGCATTATGTTAGCTGCATCATGTTAGAGGAACTATTACCTTGTCATTGTCTTTATTGAAATTAAGTAGAATTTAAGAGGATGCTTATAGGTGCCAAGCTGATAAGGGGTGGGCCTGTGGACTTAATTTTAAGGATCACCTTGACTGGATTGAAGAATACCTAGAAAGCTGGTAATGCATTATTTTGGGTATGTCTGTGAGGATGTTTTCAGAGTAGATGTGTGTGTGAGTCAGAGTGGATGAGGTGAGGAAGATCTGCCCTAAATGTTGGCAGGCACCATCCAATTGGCCAGAGGCCCTGAGAGAGCAAGTGCAGAAGGCAAATTGGTTTCTCTCTGAGGGCTGGAATAGACTTTTCTTCTGGAATAGACTTTTCTTTTGTTTCTTAACTAAATCTCCTCTTAAAAATATAAGTAAATATTCAAAAAGGAGTTTAAAAAAACTTTTTCTAGAATTATATTTTCTGGATTTTCATCTTTTGGTATTTCAACATTTGGGATTATGGTGTTTAGGATTGTGTCTCTCAGGATTATGGCCCCAACCCAGAGAGATGTTCATCAAAAAAATATAGATGAATAAATCAGTTTGTGGTATTTCATTCAGTGACATCTGCATTTGTCCCTTTTTATACTGCTGTAAAGAAGTACTTGGTTAGGTGCATTGGTTCCTGCCTGTAATCCTAGCATTTTGGGAAGTCAAGGCAGGTGGCTCTCTTGAGCCCAGGAGTTCAAGACAAGCCTGGGCAACATGGCAAAAACCTGTCTATACTAGACATGGTGGTGAATGCCTGTAGTCCCAGCTACTCAGGAGGCTAAGGTGGGAGGATCACCTGAGCCTGTGGAGACTGAGGCTGCAGCTAGCTGTGATTGTGCCACTGCACTACAGCCTGGGTGACAGAGGAGACCTTGTTTAAAAAATAAATAAATAAAAGTAAAATACCTGAGACTAAGTAATTTATAAAGAAAAGAGGTTTAATTGGCTCACAGTTCTGCAGGCTGTACAGGAAGCATAGTGGCTTCTGTTCTGGGGAAGCCTCAGGAAACTTACAATTACGGCAGAAGGCAAAGGGGAAGCAGGCACATCTTGTATGGCTGGAGCAGGAGGAAGAGAGAGAAGGTGAAGGTACTACATACTTTTGAACAACCAGATTTAAAACAAAACAAAACAAAACAAACCAAGATCATACCAGAACTCACTATTGCCATGACAGCATCAAAGGGGATGGTGTTAATACCATGAGAAACTGTCCCCATGACCCAGTGACCTCCCATCAGGCCCCACCTCCAACAATGGAGATTACAATTTGACACAAGGTTTGGGGGGGAACAGATCCAAACCATATCAACATCCTATACAGCAATGAAAAGGAATGATCTACATCGATCTGCAACCATATGGATATGGATAAATATATGTTAAATGAAAGAGGGGTGTCCTGACACCAGTGGGTGTTGAGAACTGTCCACCCCAGGTGTAGACAATGAGTGTGCTTTGGCTGTAAAAAATTTAAAAATAGGCCAGGCATGGTGGTTCACGCCTGTAATCCCAGCACTTTGGGAGGCCAAGGTGAATGGATCACAAGATCAGGAGATCAAGACCATCCTGGCTAACATGGTGAAAACCCGTCTCTACTAAAAATACAAAAAAAAAAAAAAATTAGCTGGGTGTGGTGGCACTTGCCTGTAGTGCCAGCTACTTGGAAGGCTGAGGTAGGAGAATCTCTTGAGCCTAAGAGGTGGAGGTTGTGGTGAGCCTAGATCCTGCCACTACACTCCAGCCGGGGCAACAGAATGAGACTCTGTCTTAAAGGACTAAAATTAGTTTCTCTCTTTTTTTTTTTTCTTTTCTTTCTTTTGAGACACGATCTTGCTCTGTCAGCCCGGCTGGAGTGCAGTGGCATTATTTTGGTTCATTGCAAACTCTGCCTCCTGGGCTCAAGTGATCCTCCCACCTTCAGCTCCTGAATAGCCAGTACTAGAGGCACAAGCCACCACACCTGGCTAATTTTTGGATTTTTAGTAGAGACAGGGTTTCACCATGTTGCACAGGCTGGTCTCAAACTCTTGAGATAAAGCAAAGCCATCTGCCTGCCTTGGCCTCCTAAAGTGCTCGGATTACAGATGTGAGCCACGGTGCCAGGCCATTTTTCTTCTTTTAGAATACCATGTGGTGTTGATTCTATAAGTGATAAAATACTTCTTCCTGCTGGGGCAGAGCACCCCTTCCCATTTCTGACTTCTATCCCATCACTGGAGTGAAAGAAGCTTGTCATAATAGTGTATGTACTACAGGATTCCATTTTAAAGTAAGCAAGCAAAACTAATCTATGCTGTTAACATTCAGGATAGTTTTTAAAGTCTTCGAGGTGGTGGATGGAATGAAGCATGAAGGATTCTAGAAGCTGGAAAGGCCCTGGATATAAGGGTATGTTAAATGTGTTAAAATTCACTGAACTGTACCCTTATGATTTGTGCATTCTTTTTTTTTTTGAGATGGAGTCCAGGCTGGAGTGCAGTGGCGTGATCTCGGTTTACCTCTGCCTCTCAGGTTCAAGCAATTCTCCTGCCTCAGCCTCCCCAGTAGCTGGGATTATAGGTGTGCACCACCACACCTGGCTAATTTTTTTTTGTATCTTTAGTAGAGAAGGGGTTTCACCATGTTGGTCAGGCTGGTTGTGAACTCCTGACCTCATGATTCGCCCCCCTCAGCCTCCCAAAGTGTAGGGATTACAGGTGTGAGCCACTGCGCCCAGTTTACCTGTGCATTCTTGTATGTTATATTCCAACATAAAGTTATGTGTGTGTGTGTGTGTGTGTGTGTGTGTGTATGTGTGTATGTGTGTTTTGTTTTTTGAGACAGAGTCTTCCTCTGTCACCCAGGCTGGAGTGCAGTGGTGCAATCTCAGCTCACTGCAACCTCTGCCTCCCAGGTTCAACTGATTCTCCTGCCTCAGCTTCCCGAGTAGAGTAGTTGAGATTACAGGTGTGCGTCACCATGCCCAGCTAATTTTTGTATTTTTAGTAGAGATGGAATTTTACCATGTTTGCCAGGCTGGTCTTGAACTCCTGACTTCAAGTGATCCACCCACCCCAGCCTCCCAAAGTGCTGGGATTACAGGTATGAGCCACCGCACCTGACCACAACATAAAGTTTTTAAAAAAGTTACAACATATTTAAAAAAATTAGATATACTTAAGAATTATAATTTTGCCCATGAATGTATTTCTGGCTTGATTTTAGAAAACAAAAAACAAAAACTTCTGTCTGCCTCAATGGAAATTTCCATCATAATCACTTATAACCAATACTTTGACAATCAACCCCTAAAAACAACACAGGCAGTTATTGAGTGCCCGCCACATGGGAGAAATACTGAGCAATCATGGTTTGATGGTAAGAAAGAGGAGCTGTCTCTTGGTATGAAGGAAAGCTGACTTAAAGCAGTTAAACTGCTGGGACTTAATTACATGAAACTAGGCATTTACCTTTAAACACAGATGGCAGATGACCTGCAGTATTTCTCTTTTGTTATTTCTGTGGAGTCTGAATTCCTTTTGAGATCACTAACTTTGCAGAAGAGGGACAGAGCTTGAGCCGGGAAGAATGAAGGTGGGTGGGTGGAGCAGATGGCGACCAAAGGAAGGAGCTGAGAAAAGGCCAGAAAGAGGAAAGAGGTCATTGCTCCTTCTATCCCCATCAACAGAGTGGATAAAGGGATAAAATAGAACCAAATCATCACTCACCGTCACTGAATAAAAGAAAGGACACCTCTTCACTTCAACAAAAAAAATAGGAAGAGTGTCAACTGAGGATAAAGAGCTCTTATTTAAATTGAGTAAGTTTAACTTTATAAAAAAATCCGCTTCAATTTTATTGATGAGAAATCTACTTTTTAAATTCTTTAAAAAAAATTTCCTGTGAATTGGTAAAAAAAGTCATCACTGTTTGGTGTTTGAGAGGGACTGCGGTTCTAGTCCGCAGTCTAGAGGTTGGCTTTTCCTATAAAGGGTAAGAAAATAAATCTCTTAAGCTTTGGGGGCAATGTTCTCTGTTGCATCTACTCAGTTCTGCTATTGTAGCATGAAAGCAGGCTATGGAAAATATGCAAATGAAAGGGAATGGCTGTGTTCTGCTAAAATCTTATTTGTGGACACTAAAATTGCCAAGTGGAATTGAACAAAATTGAGACCCAAAAATTTATAGAAAAGATCAGTGAAAGGAAAAGTTGGTTCTTTGAAAGGATAAATAAGCTTGATAGACCACTACCTAGGTTAACAAAGAAAAAAAGAGAGATGTTCCAAATAAGCACAATTAGAAATGAGAAAGAAAGGGGACATTACTACTGATCCCACAAAGATACAAAAGATTATCAAGACCATTATGAACATTTGTAAACACAAACTAAAAAATCTAGAGGAAATAAAGTCCTGGAAATGCACAACTTCCCAAGATTGAATCAGAATTAATTAAACCCTGGACACACCAATAATGAACTCTGAAATCGAATCAGTAATAAAAAACGAACCAACCAAAAAAAGCCTTGAACCAGACAGATTCACAGCCAAATTTTGTCGGATATACAGAGAAGAGCTGGTACCAAAC